TTTTGACGAAATGGTCGTTATACAACCCATCTTTCTGGGCAGGTAGGGTGCCCGTTGTGCAATTGCAAACTGTATCTTGGCCCATTGTGCAATTATAACTCGTCTTTGTGACTCTACTGAAGTTCCCCCTGTAACTTAAGTTTGCTCTTGACAATGTGAGTGTATCAGACCAGCAGCAGATTTCATGGACCTGTTCCCTCCTCACCCCATTGCCCGGGAGGAGGCAGTGCAGTGAGGATCACAGAATCTGATATGGATGGCAGTGGATGGCAGGGGCTGGCGTGGTCTCCTGTGGTGCCCCCTAGAGGACACTTGGCGGCAACCTCGACCATCGACTCGGAGTCATCTAAGACGCTTTTCCCTAGCCAAAGCCCGTAATGGCCCCAGTAATTATCCAGGTTACCCCCAGTAATTATCCAGGTTACCGTACTATTTGTTGTACTTCAGGGACGGTGGACCCGGTTTCCAGCAAGTGCTGCAGCTCCCCACTAATAGATCGGAGCCATCCGGGGCCCTGGTATTATGGGGGGGATGCTCGTATCAACCCCCGTAGTACACGCTGGAGATGTTGAAAAAGTCACAAAAAATGAGTTATAATTGCATTAATATGGGCCAAGAGACAGTTTCGAATTGCAGTTCGGGCAATGTATACAAACCAGCTTTCTGGCCAGATAGGGTGGCACTGCCTGAAGTGCAATTGCAAACTGTATCTTGCCCCCTAGTGCAACTATTAACTCCTTTTTGTGACTCTACTGAAGTTACCCCCCTTTTTTAATCTACAGTGCATGCACTGGGTGCTGTGACATGGGCTGAAATACTCTTGGGAAGTTCATTTTCCACAAAGGACAAGACTCTACTATAACATGCAATGCCATGCAGTTAATCCCCTCCATGTGGGGGCAATCAATGCTGCCCACTGTATTTATTAACATGCTGACCCTGTCGGTAGAACACTCGACCCTTGGCGTTCATGCGTACGTCACATCATGGTCAGAGCGTTCATTGGAATGTTTTGGGCACCTGCCAGTGGTTGACTGTTTCTTTTTTTTGGGGGGGGGAACTGTGGCTGTGGCACACTGTTACTTTGAGTTTGAAATAGGCAATAAAAGACAAGAGTGGTGCCGATGTCATGGTGTGAGTTTCCGAAATGTGCAAGTTTAGCGGGGTCTAAATGAAAACTGCACCAGTCATGCATTACCCGCAGTGGGGCTTGGCAGATTTAGGGGGGTTGCCTTTTTTGGTCCATTTTGGGAACAGTTACTGCTAAAGTTGCCTATTCTGAACATTGTGTGTGAGTCCAACGCTACGTGGCACCCTGGGCCGCGGCCGCAGGATCCAAGTCCGCGGCCAGGATCCTAGGCCGCAGGCCCGCGGCCGAGTCCGCGCGCGGCCGCGCCACGCCCAGGCGGGGGCGCACGCTCAAAATCCGCGCGCGCGCTCGGCCTGCGCACGTCGGCCGCTGTCGGCCTGCATTAAAAAAGAATAATAATAAAAAAAATTGGGGGGGTTGTTTTTCATAGGTAGCAAACAAATATTAAAAAATAGAAAAAAAATGAATATTCATTTATTGATTGTTTTTTTTAATGATTGATTGATTGATTGATTGATTGGTTGATTGATTGATTGGTTGATTGATTGATTGATTGATTGATTGATTGATTGATTGATTGATTGATTGA